CGGTGCCTCCCCGCGCGCGGCGCGCAGCCTGGCCCCCGGGAGGCGCCTCAGGAAAGCCGCCCCTTTACGAGGGCCGGGTTTGGGGTTTTGGCACTGGCAGCCCTCTGTTTCCTGCGGAGGATGTTTTTGCTGTTTACCCCGGTCGGTGAGACAGGTCTGGTGAAGGGAGGCACCCGCCAGCCTGGCGGAGCGCTTTTCAAGCAGCGGCGTGTGTAGTGAGCTGTGCGAGCCGCTTCTAGTGCGAAAGGTGGAAGGTCAAGTGAGGGCACTCATTTGGTTGCGTGTGTTTTTACTTACGCAGCCGTCGCTCTCTTTCTTTTTAGGAATGTCGCATCGCACATCCCATTGTAAAATGCACTTACTGCCGATCGGAATTTCAACAAGAGAGGTATGAAAGTAATTCAGTCGTTGGAAAGCGTACTGCACAGTGCTGTTCTAGTGCCTTGGGTTATCAGTGTGTCTGCAGAAAGAACAGCTGTTTCTGCAGTCATAACTGTTTGTAACAACAGAAATTCACAGAGAGAGGGGAAAATATTAAACTCTTGGAAGACCATTGAACCACAGTAAAATAACCTGTCTGCTCTAGTGACCCAAGTGTGTCGTGTAAACACAGTACAATGGCAGGTCACTTTGTCTGCTTATCATTCACTATTTACTATAGCGTATATTTGCATGTGTGTTTTTTAATAATTGCATGGGAAAGAATTTCCAGGTCCATGTATGTCACTGAATTCAACATTATGCAATTTTATCTTTAGCAAAACTAATACAATATGCAAGAAATGTGCCCAAAACGTGAAGCAGTTTGGAACGGTGAGTAGGCTCTTAATTCTGAAAACTGAACTCAGGTTCGTTCACATTCTAAAAGAAAAAATCTTTTAGGAATTAAATTTCTTATTTTCCTTTGACAAAGAAAAATAGATTTTGGAAAAGTGATGAAGATTATTGGCAGCTCTTGAATTCCTTCCTCGCTTACAGTTCCTTTTTTCAAAATGAAATTCATTGTGATTATATATAGTGTAACAGTTATGAATAACTGCAATACAGCTATTCATAGCAAAAAGAATGTTATCTCACTTTATGCATGTAAAATAATTCTTTGCATATTCTCGTAAGCAAACATTTGACATCAGAAAGATGTTTAGATGTGTTTTTAATGAGTGGTTAAATGTGAAAAGCTGTATGATTTTTTTTATATGATGTGAGTATTAAAATTTTTAGAGGCTTGTTAACCGTATTAAGGTGTTAAGTATTAAAGGTTCATGAGTATTATTTGTATTAATGTTATTTTGCGTTTTCTCAGCTTTAATTGCAGCTTCACTTCTGTTAGAGAACTTTTTCATATATGAATACACAAATTCTGCATTGCATCTTAGTGTGCTGCAGGTATTAGTTTATAAAAGGTGTTGAGATAATCTTTGTGAAACAGAAGTGCTTGACTTCTATGTGCTTAGCATACACCATATTACATGAAATTCAGCTTATTGGAGAAACATGACAGATGTTGGTATATAGTCAGGCATTTTGTAAATGTAAAGTGGAACAAAAAGAATGTTCTTTGAAAGTCTTAAAATATTGTACAATGAAATATAATACAGAGCCAACAACATTTTTAGCAACAGTTAATTAAAAAAGGAAACTGCATTGAAGATAATCAGCCATTTCTGACTAAAGAAAACTGCCAGAAAACTACTATCTTCTAGTTTTGTATTACTCTATGATATAAAAGCTGATAATCTGATCTAAAGGTATCTGAAGGTTTGTTAAGTTTCTTACAGAGCTGCAGGGACAGAGATGCTAATCTTGGAGCCATAGGGTGCTCAAATCCCCGAGTAATTCAAGTAGTTTGGAAACTGGGGCCTAAAAATGGCTTGATTACTTATTTAAATTTTATTTAGGTAGCTGCTTTAGTAATGCTGTAAAAGAGAGGAGAAGATGCTGTCATATTAAAAAAAGGGAGGGAGGGAAAAATGAGCAGTCAAAATGTATGTGTGTTCTTCAATGAATAGAATCTCAGGTGTTCGTAGAAGGCCCAGAGTTTCTTTGACAGTTGAAGGACCACTACCTTAGGGGAAAAAGTTAGTGTTGAAGGTAGAACCAGTAAAGAAAAAGGATTTTGAGAGATGGATCGTATGAAGCCCTAGTAGTTTAGAAGTATTGTTGTGTGATTTGAAGTATCTGCACTAGCTCATTATGGAAACCGTAAATATATTAACTTTTGTTCCACTTACCTGTTTTTCAGCCCAAGCCTTGTCAGTATTGTAATATTATTGCAGCATTTATCGGCACAAAATGTCAGCGTTGCACAAACTCAGAAAAGAAGTATGGCCCACCTCAGACATGCGAACAGTGCAAACAGCAATGCGCTTTTGATCGAAAAGAGGAAGGAAGAAGGAAGGTATGTTTTGCTCCAGATCTGTAATGGCTTAGGCTGACAATCGAAGACACTTCTACTTCATAAGAGGAAGATTAACAGGAGGGTATCTGAAGTTCACTAATATCAGGTTAAAGTCATTGTGTTGTGCTTTTCAGTATTTGCATTAAATTCCACAAGTTAGAATCATTACGTTAGCTATTGGGCTAACTTATTTAGAGTGAATCGTTCTTTTTTTAATAAGCTTAAGAGTAAGCTGACAGTAGTATTTGATGAACAGAGGTTAAGTAGCTGAGTTGTTCTTGGTGCTTTGGGTTTTTTTCCCCATCCGTCGTATCCTATGTGTGTCATAAACTTGAATCTGTCAGTTCACCACTTCCGATCTGCCTGCCTTGTCTTAAAAGTGTAGCACCAGAGAGAGGTAGACTGCTCTGAGCAGCTGTTTGTATTCTACTTTCTTAAATAGCTTTGGTGAGTGCCACTTTCTCATTCCAGAAGGTGCTGAGGAAATCACCTCATAAACCTCTTGCCTGAACTCAAGAATAATGCTGTTTTTACAGAAGAATTTACTCGGTACAAGTAATACATTGACTGGACATCTTGATTCTGCTCTGGAATACGATGGGTTGAGAGCGTAGATGGTGTCTAAACCAAAAATGATTTACCCCTTAAAAAAGTCATTCTCACTTTTATGATACAGAGTGGGTCTGTTATTATTAGCAATAACAAATATTTGCTAAAACTGTCTTGTAGCATAACTTTAAATGCCAAAAAGAAATGAGAAGAGATTCGCTATATTAAATAATACCATGCATATATTTGAGGATATGCTATTGCTGTTTCATGCCAAAGAGAGGTCTAGATTTTTCTTACAGATAACAAACAGATAAAAAGATTTTCTGGCAAATACTAAGGTACATCTTTCTAGTGCAAGTATACTTGGAAACAAAATTGTGAATTATTTCCCAAAAGGTTGATGGAAAGTTACTGTGTTGGCTCTGCACACTGTCCTACAAGAGAGTACTACAGAAGACAAAAGAACAGAGGAAGAGCCTAGGATCGTCACATTCTAACTCCTCATCCTCCTCTCTTACTGAGAAGGACCAGCATCATTCAAAACACCACCACCATCACCACCATCATCACCGCCACAGCAGTAGTCACCATAAGTAAGTATTAAAACTTAAAATAGCTGTTGATGCGTCTTCCTGTTCCACGTTCTCTTAGTACTAAGGTCAAATTAAAGGAAATAAGAAACACTGTTTAAAATAAGTTATTGAAGGTCGTTAGTAGAATGTTTTTGTTCCTGTTGAAGTCTTTGTGTTCTTGCAAATTAGATAAACAGAAATCAACGAACAGCAGAAAGTCCTGGTGATCTTAAAAATTATTGATGTTAAAGTTGATAGAAGGTCTAGGAAAGAAATCTGGAGAATGGCTGCAGAAACAAGTTACTTGAGGATAAATTAGAATTTGGATTTCTAAGCAGTAACTGCTAACTTGCAGGCGTTTACCACGGGTTCAAACACATGTCGTGGCAGCCTGGAATAGCTATTTCGCTTGGAATCTTAACCCGAACTTACTTCATTGTGACAAACATGTTTGCCCATACTCCTAGTTAATTGTGATGGGGTACTTGCCTGAGAAGCCTAAGCAATGGTGTAGAATCACCCTCAGTCAAGGACGAGTTTACGTGTCTCTGGCAGTTGTTATAATCAAATCCTGCTGGAACAGGCAGTATTAAGTGACAGTTCATGAGTGACTGCCATGCAGACACAGGAAAACGACATTGTCAGTTCAGTTATTGGCACTCTGATAACGTTTCACATAATTACATCTCATCTCGCAACTTTTCTCAACATGCTTTTCTCTGGCTGTGGCATTAACAGCATACAAGCTTTAATTTACATACTCAGTTTATCCAGTCGTAAATCCCAGGACTGATTTGTTTCTTTTTCTTGCTAATATAATAGCGATTATGTGATTCTTATTTTTATTAGTAGGATTATGGCAGCATACTTTAAAACTACTTATTTTCTTCTTTCTTTTTTGTGCTGGATAATGAAAAATATAGCTGCAATGGTAATGATCCCTGTCATGAAGGAACACACAAACGCTTTCATTCTGAGCTTCACTTTTCCAGTGCTTATAACTTTCCATTTTGACCGTAATTTGTCTCACCAAGCATGATTTAAAAGCAGACGTAGAGTAATCTGGGATGATATTGGGAACGAGGAGGAGAGAAATATACAGAATTTCACTTACAAAAAAAAAAAAAAATAGACTTATTCCTTAGGAATTCGAAGAAGAAAATTATTCTTGTCAACCAGAGAGATGTTATACTGCTTTTATTCTCTCTAGTCTCTGCTGAAAATTGAGTTGTAACAAGGTAAACGTGATTTAACGAGTGTGGCAATGATCTAGTAAAGATTAAATTAAAAAAATGGAGCTCTTCAGTACAGATTTTCTAATATAATCAGGAGCTGTTAGAAAAAGCATACCTCTACATAGGCTGTGACACACCTTTTTTCTATAGGCTGCCCTGGGTCCGTTGCTTAAGGTCCAATAGACTCTTCCCCCATCCACTTCAATTAGTGTTGGGGTAAGAGAGTAATATGAGAAAGAGGTATGAATTCATTGAAATATTTCATTCATTGCAGTCTTCTAAATTTTGCCATTATTGATTCTTATATCCATGAGGTTTGGTAAAGTTGCTTTTAAAATTATTGAAGATGTATCTTTATGCTCAAAAAAAATGTTACATTTCCAGGATCCAAAACTTACCTTGCTCTTTTGCCACCACCATTGGTCGTAGCAGTACAGAAGTAGACGTCTTTTTACGCAGAGTTCACATATTACATAATACGGTGTGGTTTTAGACCAACTTGCAAGATTAGCAATAACAAAAATTCTCAAAAATTGAGAAATGCCAGAAAAAAAAGGTTTAGCGGTCAGTCTTAAAGTCTGCCCGTTGTACCTTACGACAGTGTAAACATGTAGCTAAAAAATATTTTAATGGCATCCACACCTTAGTAAAGACTAATTACAAATATGACAGATAATATGGCTTTCCAACTGGAAATTCATAATTGGTAATTCTCTGTGTAAAAAGGGGATTTTTCTCAAGAACAGATATCATTCGCATAAATTCAGAAATAGTGGAATGTTTGATCTATTACTTTCACTAAGTACATTTCACATTTTTCAGAATCACCAATCTCAGTCCAGAACAAGATCAGGGACTGTGGAAACAGAGGTAAGTATGATCTAATTTATTAATTTCCTTTTAATTCATCTTGCACTTTATATTTAGAGGATCTTTTTCCTCGAATTTCTGATTAGTCTCTAGCATTCCAACTAGGAGCATGAGTTAGTTATTTCATATGTACCAAGTGGTGATATTAGAGAGTTATTTAGTATGAGGCTTTAGGTTTGCGTTTTGTTTGATTTCAGCCATAAATCCTCTGCAGCTATTCAGAATGAAACTCCAAAGAAAAAACCCAAACTGGAATCCAAGCCATCAAATGGAGATAGGTAAAGTTACATTTTTGTACAACTGAGCCGTTTCAATCAAGTAGAGCACTCGTTTGTGGCCAGTTGCCTTTTTTTTTTTTTTTTTTGTCTGGAGAACAAGGGAGGTGAAAACTTAATTGTCCAGCAAAACAGATTATTGGGTGGCATCTGAGTGCTGTTGGTCAGCTAAATTACTTCATTCGCGCAAAACTGGCACTATGTTCCTGCTTTTAAGCTGTCTGGGGCAAAGTTAAATAAAATATGTGTATGAGGCAACAATTATCAAAGAAACAGTGTTTCCTAGCATCAGGGTTCTTTGCAATTAGATGCAGGGTTGAACCTGCTGCTTTAAGCTGACCTAATAATCTAAAGAAGTCTTTGAACCTTAATGTGTGAGACTGAATCTTTATTCTGTCTCTGGCCAAACAGTTGGAATAAATGTAAAAGTGGCTGCTTCAGTCAAAAGGTATTTGTCCCCCTTAAAGCTAATACTTCATTATATTTCTGCAGGTGTATGTAATGTGTGCCATTAGTAAGGTAATTTGCCAGTTGCATCCATTTCTGTCAGGTACATACTTTTTTTGCATTAGTCCTTAAGGATGTTTGTGAAATTGTTAATTATCCCATTTGAACTTTGAAAAAATGTACTTTTTTTGTATTGATGTTACAAATATTTTTTTTTTTTTAGTAGCTCTATAAATCAGTCAGCAGACAGTGGAGGAACTGACAACTTTGTCCTCATAAGTCAGCTGAAAGAAGAAGTAATGTCGCTTAAACGGCTTCTGCAGCAAAGAGATCAGACGATTTTAGAAAAAGATAAAAAGGTAAAAATTGCATTTGCTTAATAAGAATTTTATAATTTTGTCCTCTACTTCATAGATTGCTAACAATTCTGTCAAAATTGTATGATAAAACAAAAATCAGATGCAATTTTTTTGTATATAGCAACTAATCCGATTTTAAAGGACAAGTTTTCGACTTTTGTGTCTTGAGTATATTTTAGCTTTAAGTCAAAGAGGAATTCCTCTCACCTCACTTTAGCCATGTGCAAGTCTGGTTCACTGTTTGTCATGCTCCGTTCTACAGGTGGTTGCTTAAAATGCCAGAAAGTGGTTTGTGTGTTTTAAGTATTTTTAATTCAGTCAAAACAAAGATCCCGTATATCTATGTACCTGGCAGGCACGCAAAGTAAGATGGGGAATAAAAGTGGTGAACACTCCAAATTTAGTCTACTTTTTATTTTGTTTTAAATTAAAGCTACAATAGTAATAAGTCATGAGATGTTGTATAGAGGTTTTTTTTTTTTTTCATTATGGAGCAGAAAAAGTTTATTGTTTTGATTTTAAAATATTGATAGTTTTTGTGTAGTGTAGGTTATTTAGTCTTTGTCTGTGGTCAATGACTAGAAGAATAGCTTGGATTAGATACCTGGTAGATGGCAAAAGTTAAGTGAGATAAAATCAAGCCCAAATTACCTTATACAAGAGATGAAATTTTCAAACAACCTAATGAATAACAAGGAGAGAGACACAACTCCAAAAGTTCAATTTGCTCAGCCTTTGTTAGAGCTTATTTCTTTGCACCCTAATTTGTTAGATGTATTTTAAGACACTGTCCATAGCGGTGGCTCTGAACTGTCTATGCAGGAGTGATTAAGTTATGGAATTGTAAAAATAATATTTATAGTACCTTCAAGTAAAAGTTTGATTCTAGGTGTGTGGTGGCCTATCAAAAATGTGAAGGTTAAGAGCAGCTCGTTGGTCCTAGAAGGAAATTGCTTCCACTTTAAAACCATAGATGAGTATCTGAATTTCTATACCTAAGCTCTTGTGGTTTATATCACTGTTATAGCTGATGTTACTAGTGATGGAATTGCTTGCTATTTCAACCCTGTAAACAACTAATGTGAAAGAGCTGTCATGAATCCTCTTTGGGTATTTTCTTGAAAGGACAAGTGTTAAGGCCGTGATCTCTCTCTTATAAGGCCAGTAGAAGGTCATGAGTCAGTAGGAATTCTCTTACCTATTTTTAAGTTTGATCTACTGGTAAAGCTTACAAAAGGGTTAGATAAGGAAATATCACCTACTTCTGTGTACGCACTGCAGTAACTTGTGTTCATTGCTGTTTCCATGGGGGAGCATCCAGTAGTTTTCATATCCCTGCTGCTAAAACTATTTCTTTGGCCTCAGAGTGCTTTGAACTGTAAGCACTCCCTCAGGCATTAATTATTCACTCTGAGTGTTAGTTACTTTCTTCAGCTGCTGGGGAGGAAGAAAAGCTGAACACATACAATGTTTGCGTAGCTGAACAAATTGCAGAAAATGAATGCGTTGCAGAATATTTTGCCTATGAGTTAGTAAATATAAAGACGTGTGCAGGGGTAAAGGTCTGCAAATATCAGTCCTGAACCAGAAGTTCAGGGAGATCCTTGTTAAGACTTTGTCCCCACGTTTGTGTAGGAACAAGCAGCTTGGAGTGTTCCAAAAGAAAAATCTTTGAAATGTGTGTCTTGGGGAAACACTAAGCTTAGTTCAGGAGCTCTATAGCGCTGTGCGATCCACGCTCATCATTTTTTGTCATGAGTCAAGATCTCAGCCGTCTTGTTACCAATGGTTGCTGTTTGCAGTAATAATATTGTTTCACGTTCTGGATAAAACGTTAGTGTGAGACATCAGGAGATTACTGCCTGACCCTCAGGAAGGGGACACAGTTTGCTGAATGTTTGAGTAGTACGAAGTTCTAGTTGCACTTTTTATTATGGTGCAACACTACTGCTAGGGTTTTTTGATACCTGAAGTTTGTGGTATGTGGTTTAGTACTGATTCCTTAGAATTTACAAGAGCTTTAATAAGTACATACCTTGAGCAGCAGTCTGTGTACAGTAATATATATATATATATATATATATATATATCCATGTATCAAGACACTTGCATTTAGTTTTAGCACCATCTGATCGATGGCTCTTTTGAATATCTTGTTTCGTTATATTTGATTCAAAACATACTAGTGTTAGTAACGGCAGTCTTGGTAGTTATTTTAGGAACGTATGTTCTGTTTTTTATAGCTGACTTCTTTGCCAGCAAAGAGGCTTTATTTCCTGATAAATACAAATTGACCTGAAAAGTTAAATAAGAGCTAGGTGTATTGTGCCTGCTTGGAGGAACTGAACATTTTAAAGAAGGAGGTTCCTGAAATTACTGGGTCCATGTACAGAAAACTCGGTAATAGCAGTTCACGCAGCTGCACATGCTTCCAGAGGACGCATTCAGCTGCTTGGATAGAAGTATGTGTCACAATTTAGAAACACCTGCCTTGCGGAAAGTGATTTGGCCCTCTCCCAGTCTTAGGAGAGACTCAGTGGCAGGAATATAACAACATATTCTCAGAATTAAATTATAAGTTCAGTAATTTTAATTACACGTTTCTAACACCATTTAAATCACCGTTGCTGTGGCTTTAGACTCATTGAAGCTCTGGAGTATATACTTCTATTCAGGACAAACTGTAATCTGCTTAAGACAAATTGCAGTATAAAAGGACCCAAAGGAATCCTTTTTATTATTGCTCTGTGGAAGATTTGTCATGTGTTACCATACCATATGAATGCCATCTGCATGAGACATATCATAACTGAAGATTGTGAAGTGTCTCACATCTGAAAAAGTACAGCTAAACTTTGTATGTCCATGTAATCCTGTGTTTGTGTGGGTTTTTTTTTGTTTGTTTTGAGGAATTAGCCTTCTGTACCCCAAATCCTGAATAAAGAATATGGTTATATAAATACAGTGGTTTTCCCCATATAAAATAGACATACTTATTTTCAAGCTGCTTCTCAACAGAGAAGTCAATAGTGAACTGGTGGTTGAGCTGTCAATAGTGAACTAGTAAGTAAAGACGTTGTTTCCCAAGATTTTTACGTAAGCTCAGAAATCTCACAGGCTGATTAGAAGACATATGGCAGCTGTCCAAGGAATCTTTATAGAATTTTGTGTTTTTAGTTGACAGAGCTGAAGGCAGACTTCCAATACCAGGAGTCTAACTTGAGGACAAAGATGAACAGTATGGAGAAAGCTCACAAGGAAACTGTGGAACAGTTGCAGGTAAGTAATTTCTTATCAATACTTCAGATATGCTTCAAACAGGATTATACATTCGGGCTGTTCACAGCAATGAAATTGTACCAACTTTTGGAATGATTGTTACCACATTTAGCTTAGAATCCGTTGTTGCAGCAATTTTGTAGTCTACAAATATTCCGTGTGACTTAAGCTTCTTGTGAGAATTGCTTTCTAACTTTAAGAGTTAGAGACTTGCCTCAAGTGCTTTCTAAAGACTTATGTTACTTTCCTGTGTCTGTTCTCTGATAGCCCACTGACAAGTGATTAAACTATTGATCTGATTTAACGGCTGAGCCTAACTTGCAACTGACAGTTACGTATCTCATGTTAAAGCATGTGTCAACCTTATCAGGAAGAATGCCTGAATCAGCTGCCTTATACATCACAGTGAACAGATATGCAATGTGATCCCTCAGATACTGAATTTTGCTGTGCAGGATGTTAAGGATGGACTGTGCATACGTAAAAACACAAACAGGTCTTTGAAAGCTGATCGATTGATTGGTGGAGTATTCTCAGCATGCACATTTTGAGGCTGTTTCATAAACACCGTAGGAAATTCGTGCATGACGCTACTATCTGAGGACTTTAAGTAATTCATAAAACTTTCTTCTTTCTGTATTGCAGGCCAAAAACAGAGAACTGCTCAAACAGGTTGCAGCATTGTCAAAGGGTAAAAAGTTTGATAAAAGTGGGAGTATACTAACATCTCCTTGAGGAGCTGGTTATTCATGGGGTTTACTACTCAATGTAAATTTGAGTAATTCTGTGAAGCCCTTAAAATCCTGTGTAGTGGAAAAAATATTTTTGCACACCAGATTAGTTGGCATGTTTCCTACACATTTTTATAATTAATATGCAGCTTTTGTTAGTTACTGTTCAGATAAAATACTTCAACTGGCTTGAAGAATGTTTTTATTTTTTTGATATTGGAAACTTTTTGCCAGCAATAGTATTAAACAATTGCATAGAGAACATAGCAGTGCTCTCTCTAAAGGACAAAATGCAATAAGAAACTAGATATGTGTTCTACAAAGCAGCAGCTGAGTCTTTCAAACTATGCTAATATCAGCCAAAAGTTTGTGAATTTGCAATGACATTGAATACTGGTTTCTGGCAACTGTTTTTTTTCACTTTGTATCAGAATATAAATTTAGGATGGAAATCATGGTGCTCTCAAGTGAAACTAAAAAAGGCGTGTATGTATTTGTAAATACAATTGTAATGGTTATATTCTTAGTTATAACAAGTAACTAGTGTTTTACATGCTTGTGATAGGGATTTACTGAAAGATTATCTATTGTACAGTAACAGAGCAGTGTGTTTTTTGTAAGATTTACTGTAGATTTTTCTTGCAAGTGCCTTTCTCCAACTGTTTATTTATAGGAATGTTGGTATTTTGTACATAAGGTTTTTATGTTTTAAAATCATGTTTAATAAATGTTTTATGTAAATATACATGTGTGTACAGAGGAATCTGAGACAAAGATCAAAGAGGCTAGAGCAGTGCTTGAAGCAGCATTAAGAGCTAGCTAATTGATGGACAGTGAGTATTGGCTTTAGATAACCTTTGTAGCTTGTGTCTGTGAGATGTAGAATTTTGTTAGTGCTGCTCATGCCAAACACTTTCTGAACAAAAGAAGAAATGTTTTTTACCACGCTAGAGCTTAAGCAGTTTGTTTTTATATTTTCCCGTTGGCAAAGCGCTAATTTTTATTCCATCGCAGACATGGGGCTCCCAATGTTATATCATTAATTAGAGATATACACTCAATATTTTTTATTTTATTCCGATTGTCTGATGTAATGTACTTACTTGTAACTTATAGTGACTCTTAATGAATTGCAAGATTGTCATCCCCTATTAAAGATACACAATGAGGAAACAGTAGCCTAAACTGATGGTCTTGAAATTAGAGTGGAATTAGGGAGTGGAGTGATGTCAAATTAAAGGGCTTTTTAAAATATTTTAGTTGAATTTTGATTCTAAATTGCATCAGTTTAGGTTTAGGTCTGCTCCTAAAGGACATCAGTCATATTCAGAAATTTCTCTTAAACATACCTTAATACACCCCAAGGCTTCTGTTCAGGAAGATGAGTTACATATCAGCATAAACTGGAGCAGACTTAAGTGAGTAAAAGTTTAGTTCATCTCTGGGTATTCATTGGTAACAGGGTAACTGCTTATATTTCAGTGAGCTTAATCACGTGGAATAAGCTACATGTTTTAATTAAAGAACTAAAATCTAAAATTACTTGGCTGTCCACCCATGTTCTGAACTGTGAACACCTTTTCAGTAGTACAGATAAGTTCCAGCAGTGAGAGACTACTGAATAATTTGAAAAATCAAGCTAGCTTGTTTCCTATTGTTTATGTGTATTTTTTTATACACTGAAATCCAGTTTATACATTTGTAAATGCTCTTCTTTAAACTTGCTAAACTAGGGTAGAGAATGCTGCTATCCTTTGGGGATGTTTGTTTGTTTTTGTTTTTTTAATATACAAGTTGGGATTTTCATTAATTCAGAGTAATATTTTGATACCCGTTTTCTCCAGTTGAATAGCCACCCATGTTTAGTGAATTTGGTTTTAAAGCACAGAACTGCATAGCAAATTGAAATGTTTGAAAATAGAATAATTTCATGATATCTATTCAAGCTGCAGTAAGGATATTTTAAAGCAACAAACTGAAGTTCCATATTAGAAATAATTGATTTTATAAATCCTAGTGCGAAAAACTTTTAGGGGCTTCACAGTATTTAGTTTTAAGTAAATACCTGCTCCTCTTGTTCCATAATCTAATTTTAACTTGAATTTTTTAAAGTTGTAAACTAGCCAATTGAATCCCAGTCCTGAAAATGGTGTCCTGGAGCTGTAGATTATTGACATAATAAACTGATGTTCTTTAAACGTGGATCTGCAAGGAGATTGTTGTACTGTATTGTGCTTTTTAGCCTGTTTCCAGATGTTGATTAGCATTGACCAGTAATGGCCATTTTGGCTCAAGTTATTTATGTATTTTAAGCCTGTGAATATTGCAATCCCCTTTTAGATAGTATGTCTAATTATGCATTCTGCAGTGAAGCTATTCAGCTGTCCACATGTATAGACTATTGAAATACTGTACTGGCACACATCTGACCATTGACATTTTGTACCTTTTCTAAATCCAATGTTTCACAATAAAAACTTGTCAAAACATTAATGTGTCCTTTTAAAATTATTCATAAATTCATATTTCATGTTAATCCTTTTAATACAGTACTAAGTGGCAAGAAAAAGCAGAGTTTAATATTTCCATTTAGTATTTAGAGTTCTGTGAAAATTAGACACCTTAGGCCATCTTCAAAATGTAACAAATTGGAACTTCAGATAGATTCGATCAAGAAAAGTTTTTTTTTTTCCCTACGTTAGGATTATAGGATATGAAAACCTTTTATTGTAGAGAAGAAGGAAAAAAATAAAAGTTTAACTGAAAACTAGTAAAATTTAATAAGGTCTTCAATACACTTATAGTCTTAATATGAGGAGGGAAGATTAACATCAACGTTCTTATTTAAAAATGCCTGAATTTCTGTCATAGTTTAACAATCTTAAGGTTGTTCCTCCCTAACATGCATTTGTTTACGAGTTCGGTGATTGAGATTGTAAGTGACACTGTTGATTTTTTTTTTTTATCTGTTTTCTTGGTTGTGTAAGAAGTTAAAGGCACTGGTATCAACATGTTACCAGCTGTGAACCACAATGGCTCCTAGTGTTTAGAGCATTTGTATTGTAATCGGTAGCTCTAGTTCTTTATTTTTCCAAACTGTGGAAGGATAAATACTGATATCTGAGAAGAATTCTTTTCACAGAATCACAGAATGGTTGAGGTTGGAAGGGACCTCTGGAGAGCATCTGGACTTCAAGCAGGGTCACCTAGAGCACATTACCCAGGATTGTGTCCATATGGCTTTTGTATATCTCCAGAGAAGGAAACTCCACAACCTCTCTGGGCAACCTATTCCAATGCTCTGTCACCCTCACGTTTTTCCTCACGTTCGGGTGGAACTTTCTGTGTTTCATGTTGTGCCTGTTGCCTCTTGTCCTATCACTGGGCTCCACTGAGAAGGGTCTGGCCCCATCCTCTTGACACCCTCCCTTCAGATAGTTATACACATTGATAAGATCCCCCACCTCAGTCTTCTCTTTTCCAGGCTGAACAGGCCCAGCTCCCTCAGCCTTTCCTCATCTGAGAGATGCTCCAGCCCCCTCATCATCTTGGTAGCCCTCCGCTGGACTCTCTTTAGGAGCTCCATGTCTCTCTTGTACTGGGGAGCCCAGAACTGGACGCTACCCCAGATGTGGCCTCCCCAGGGCTTTGTAGAGGGGCAGGATCACCTCCCTCCACCTGCTGGCAACACTCTTCCTCCTGCAGCCCAGGAGACCATTGGCCTTCTTGGCCACAAGGGCACAGTGCTGGCTCATGCTTAACTTGCTGTCCACAAGGACTCCCAGGTCCCTCTCTGCAACCCCCAACCTGTCCTGGTGCATGGAGTTACTCCTCCCCAGGTGTAGGACCCTGCACTCGCCTTTGTTGAACTTCAGGCGGTTCCTCTCTGCCCAGCTCTCCAGCCTGACCAGGTCCCTCTGAGGGGCAGCACAGCCCTCTGGTGTGTCAGCCACTGCCCCCAGTTTTGTATCATCAGCACGCTTGCTAAAGGTGCACTCTGTCCCTTCCTCCAGGTCATGGATGAATATATTGAACAAGACTGGGCCCAGGACTGACCCCTGGGGGACACCACTAGCTACAGGCCTCCAACTTGACTCTGCGCCATTCACCACAACCCTCTGAGCTCGGCCATCCAGCCAGTTCTCATTCCACCTCACCGTCCACTCATCCAACCCACACTTCCTGAGTTTCCCTAGGAGGATGTGATGGGAGACAGTGTCCAAAGCTGAAGTCCAGGGAGACAACGTCCACTGCTCTGCCCTCATCTTCCCAGGCAGTCGTTCCATCAGAGAAGGCTCTCAGATTGGTCAAGCATGATTTCCCTTTGGTGAATCCATGCGGACTACTCCTGATCACCTTCTTGTCCTCCACCTGCTTAGTGATGGCCTCCACGATGAGCTGCTCCATCACCTTTCCAGGGATGGAGGGGAGGCTGACAGGCCTGCAGTTTCCTGGCTCCTCCTCCTCGCCCTTTTGGAAGACTGGCGTGACATTGGCTTTCTTCCAGGCCTCAGGCACCTCTCCTGATCTCCAGGACCTTTCCAAGAGGATGGAGAGTGGCCTGGCTACAACATCCGCCAGCTCTCTCAGCACTCGCGGGTGCATCCCATCGGGGCCCATGGATTTGTGGATGTCAAGTCTGGGCAAAAGATCTCTAACCCGCTCCTCCTCCACCAAGGGAGAGTCTTCCTTTCTCCAGACTTCCTCTCTTGCCTCCAAGGTCTGGAATTCCTGAGGGCTGGCCTTAGCAGTGAAGACTGAAGCACTTAAGAATGAAAGTTAAGAATGAAATAAATGAGTCAAAATAACAAGAAAGTAAGATTCTGTTGCCTTCTGGTCAAGGCAGTTATCTAGAAAGGAGGAAATCTTTGGGTTTCAGACCCTCACTCTTAAGACAGCATGTATTTTATATTAGATACTGAATAATGTGCTAATATAATATTGAATTGTTCTTAGCCTCATTTAAATGCAAGTTTGTTATAACTTTAGTGAAGCCATTTATTTCTAAAGCTGAGAGCAAGGCAAAATGGTGTGTGGTACCCAGTTTAGACGTGGCTTCCGTTTAACACAGACCAGACTCATCTAACTGGCTCTGCAACAGATTGGCTCCCTAAAAGAGATTTGCATAATTTGAAATGTATTTTCTTAAAGAAGTTTTAAATTGGTATAACCTGTGTGTACGCACTTACGCAATTCTCAGTGGTCTTCAGTAGCTTCAGTAGTCATAAGTATGGAACCCACACCAATTTTTCTGAAAACACTGAAATTGTATGGTTATAAACTGTAAACTTAACCTTTTTAAAATGGAGTAAAAGCTGTCCACATCATTTTTGTTCCTTCAAATAAATTACTAAAACACCAGTTCAGTTAAAGAAAATGCTGCATAAAATGCTTTATATATTATGTGCAGTTCCTATAGCTCTTATCTTGAAAAAGTATTGTTATATAAAAGGACTTCTGATGAATTGCACAGAAATAGAAGGCATTGGGCAAGGGGATTACTGGTGTAGAAGGAGGAGGCTTTTGGGGTGCTACTAGGGGATGGAACAAGCGATGGAAGCATGAGGGCTAATAGAGAAGAGAAAGCTCTGAGACACTGCTTTAATTATATATGTGATGTACTGAATCACGGGGTTATTTTTTCAAGCCACATATTATCTGTAAATGCACAAAAAATTGAAATTCTTTAGGGTAAAATGCAGCATTGCTTAAGGGTCCATTTTTGTTTTTTATCAAATGATTCTATAATCCAAGCTTCAGGAGTTAAAAGAATAAACACCTTACTTAAGTTGAAATATAAAGATGCACAACATAAAATCCGTCTTTTAAAAATGTTAGTCATACTTTGTAGGTACACACTGGTGTGTTTGGAGGTACCATGTATTGGGACACAGAAACGCAGCTTGTCATCAAATGCAGCTGGGAACAGTAATTTAAATCATTCCAGCAAGATCTGAAAGCACTTGCTTGGTAGTAATTTATCTGAGTCAGGGTGCAGCATTCATTAATATTATCTTGATGAAAGATATCTTTGTATTTTATATAACGATAACATCCACAAAAGGTTGTGAGTGAGTACTCACTTATCTCACTTCCTGGGAAGACATGAGGTTGTCTTGGATGAAAAATTGCCTTGAAAGATCCTATTGAAATTTAATTCCTATGTCCCTTGCTTAAACACATTTCAGTCTTTTTTCTGTAATAAATCTTGGTCTTTTTAGGGTGTGGTTAGTACAATGGATTGTACTTTTTCCACTTGTTTCCCATTAAAGATAATGATATGTAGAGATTCTTTTAAAGCAAGTTTACCTTTGGATCTTGTTTATCAAAAAGAATCTGGTGGAGTCGATCTCTTTCCTTATTGCCTAAATGCTAAACTTAGTAAGTGAAAGTAGAGCTAAATAGGAATGACTGCTTATATAATCTTAACCACTAGATGATGCTTAAACCACGCGGTTTCTCAAAGTATGTGGCTATAAGTGCTTTCCGCACACAGTCTCGCTCTCACAGTGGATAGCTCTTTCTGTTCAACTAGAAAACTGATGCCAGAATGAAAATATTTGAAATAGCTATATTTTGGAATACATTTTGGAAAATTTGGAATATATTTGGGAAAATTAAACATAGTGATTTTAAGCACATTTAATATAGGTAACTAAATAACAACCAAAACTTCATGTATGAAACTACAGAGTGATTTCTTTTATCCATACATCTCAGATTACTTTTCCTTAAGAAAGAAACATCCCCATTCAATGGTTCAAGAAGCTGAGCCGGAGAATAATGTAATTTGACTACTGTCAGACAAAAGGTATTGTGAGAATTAAAAACAGACTCTAGGACTGTCCAAGCAATGTGGAGATTTGTATATCTTTTCCCTTTGAGAAAGGAATTACTAAGGATTAGTTTAAAAAATCTTTTTAAATTCAACATAAATGTATAAGAAGCATTATTAAGGTGACTTAGCAGATGAACTTTAGGAACTGGTATTAAATGCAAATGAGTTATTCGTAGTACAGATAGCAATATAAAGCTGGGAGGAATCCACTTTTGATTTGGAAAAATAAGGTTTAAGGCTTACTGTTTTCCTCTTTCTTTGAATCTGATGCACTTCTAGTCTGATTCTGCTGGTAGAAGTATTTGGAATCCTGTGGCTCTCCAGTGAAGGAGATCTGCTCATCATTTAAAAATTCAAGCTATTTTTAACAACTCTTGGATCCATAAATACCTAACTTTATTAGAGGGAAAAAGTGTTTTAATTCACACACTCTATAGACATGCTGTGTATTGTACATGTATATTTTCTGACCAGTAAGGCCAGATCTTGAAACTTAAACAGGACAAGCATCTTTTCCTTCATCTGAACCACTAAAATACACAATTTTATTGTGGAAAAATGTCTAAATAAGTGATGTTTTGATGTTTACTGTTAAGTGATATACTAAAATACTTTCAGACTTTCACAGTTTGTTCTTACTGTGTTCAATTCAGTTGAATAGAAT